CAGTTTTTAGCTCACCTGGTCCTAAGGACCAAGGTGAGCTTATGCCATACCGTGGCGTCCGTCGTCCGTCCGTCAACAACTTCTTTAAACGACTTCTTCTTCTTAACCACTGATTGGAATTAAGCTAAATTTGACTGGAAGTATCCCTAGGTGGTTGGTATTCAAAATTGTACAAAAAGTTGGGCTGACCCCCGCAGGAGCTGAGGGGCGGGGCCATTTGGCTATATTGCTACAAACGACTTCTTCTGTAGAACTATGCACTGGATATCAATCATATTTGAACAAAAGCATTCATGGGAGGCAGGGATTCAAAATTGTACAAATGGTGTGGCTGACAGCCCAGGGGGCTGAGGCATCAAAAAGAGTTATTTGGCTATATTGTTTTAAACATTTTCTTCTGTAGAACTATGCACTGGATATCAACCATACTTGACTGGAAGCATCCCTAGGTGGTGGTGATTCACAATTGTACAAATGATTGGACTGACCCCCAAGGGGGTTGAGGGGCGGGGCCAAAAGGGGTCAATTTGGCTATATTGCTATAAATGACTTCTTCTGTAGAACTATGTCATGGATATGGATAATACTTGGTTGGAAGCATTCATGGGAGGCAGGGATTTAAAATTGTACAAATGGTTGGGATGACCCCCGGGCTAAGGGGTGGCGCCAAAAAAAGTGTATTACTTAGAAATGGTTGAGATCCCCACCGTATAACCATATATACAATTGCTGAGTATAAAGAGAAGAATGCACATTTGCTTCCAGGATGGCCCTAGGGTCTGGCCCAACCCTTGGAGACACAGTCCCTGGGTCATAACTTTAAAACTGTTCAGATCCCCACCCCAAAACTATGTATACAAATGCTAGGCATAAAGAGACGAATGCATTCATGATATTAGAATAGACCCTGGGGTCTGACCGAACCCCTAGGGACCTAGTTTCTGAGTCACAGGTTGGAAACGGTTGAGATCCCCACCCTTTAACTATATATACAATTGCTGAGTATAAAGAGATGAAAGCACATATGCTTCCATTATGGCCTTCGGGTTTGCCCCACCCTTGGGGACTTAACCCCTGGGTCATAACTTTGAAATGGTTAAGATCCCCACCCAAAAACTATATATACAATGGTTGGGCATAAAGAGACAATGCAGTCAGACATGATATTAGAATTGACCCCAGGGTCTGCCCCACCCTTGCAGACTTAACCCCTGGATCATAACTTTGAAACAGTTAAGATCCCCACCCCAAAACTATAAATACAAATGCTGGGCAAAAAGAGATGAATATTATATTGATATTAGAATTGATCCTGGAGTCTGGCCACAACCCTAAGGACCTAGTTTCTGAGTCACAGCTTAGAAACAGTTGAGATCACCAACCCATAACAATAAATAAAATTGCTGGGCATGAAAAATCTAATACAGATATGCTAAAAGGATTCGCCTTGGGGTCTAGCATATTCCCTTGGATCTCATTTGGAGAATATTTTGCAAAGGTTGCTTAGATATCCAGGTGAGCGATACAGGCCCTCTGTGCCTATTGTATTTTTTAGCTGAGACTCATCAAATACCTCGTTGCGTGCCTTCAATTTTGCTATGACATATGCCAGGGGTGCAGAGAGCAAAAGTGAGCGTAACCGCTGGATATGGAGGATGAAAATGAATAGACAGATGACTGGGCAGACATATGGACGACTTTCCAAGTTCATATACAAAATAACAAACACATACAAATATTTTGGCAATATTTATTTTATAAATATTAATTATTTTTTTAATGTAACACAATAATATGAAATAAGATATCAATTAAATATTGTTCAATACTTGCGGATAAGAATAGGTCCAAGCTTTAGAATTGTATCTCACAGAAGCACACACACACACACACACACACTTGAGCTAGAAAATTGACATTTGACAACATAACAAAAAACATATCTCCAATGTGCAGTTCGTCTGACAACAAGGGGGATATACAACAAGGGAAATCGACCTAGCTAATACCGTTAAGCCCGTGGCATGTTGGGCTAATTACCATCATTGTACAACAGGGGAGATAACCTATCTAAAACTGTTTATTTTACAACATGTGGTACAGTTCATTTTAGAACACGGGCATAGCATTAATACAGTTCTAAAGCTCTTGAGCTCTTGGGCTTAAGTTTGTTTTTTTTTTACCAGGGGGGATAATCCAGATTTATGTTATCTTATTCAACAACATGATAAAAAAATAATTAAAAGTTTTAAAAAAAGAAGAGATATACACATTGACATTTTTTTTGGAATAGAAATTATAACTCAAATTAACCACATTAATTAATTTAACAAATGAATTTAAAAGACCTAACACATTAAACTTCCATTATGGCAATTTTTCAAACATATCTCTTGCACAATTACAACATCAAATTTCTCGTAAGATCATTTTTCTTACACCCTTGCTAACGACAGATTATAAGACTCTTTCATGCCCAGGGGTGTAGGATAGGGTTTTCAAAATCCCAAGGGTTGAATATCCCTATCCTACACCCTTGGGCATGAAAGAGTATTTTTCTCTCATTCCAACCACCAGAATATAAGCCCAGAAACCATAAAAATGCGTTTGGACTGGCCACCACTTTGAAAATATCAATTTTTCCCCTGAGCTTTTTTGACGAAAACGAATCAGCTAGTCAAATTAAGCATATCCCATATTTGCAAACAATGCTTGCGCAGAAAAATTAATCACATCTTTCTAACGTGTACGGTAAATATATAGTAAAAGGTTTTAATTTCATCACATCGCCTTTTCCGCATTGTGGCATCGGAGAGTTCCAAATTAGTGATGTCACGTCATTGTTGAGCCATTGTGACGATAGAAATATTCTACACCCCTCTCTTTCCCTGGACAGCTCTTATCTTACACACAGGGAAATGAGAGAAATTACTTTATTGTACATGAAGGAACAAGAGAAGTAAGTGTTCAGACATAATCAAACTCAATATTGACAGGAAAACACACCATACTGTAAACATACCCCATTTACCTGACTGGTGCTGTTCTCTTGTGATGTGAACACAATACATACTTACAATAACAGGACCCCACTAACTGCCTCAACAGTCTATATCTACATGTACAACAGGATGTCAGTAAGAAGATTCTCTGCAGGCTTCTTTGGGCAGGAATTGAAAGTTATGGAATAAATGCTAAGTTTGTTTTTAACATCCACTAAGAAGCGGAATGGGTACACATATTACCCATCCCTCTGACTGACTGTAGTATTACAGTGTTATCTGCATGAAATGTCTCGATATTTTTCTGATAGCTGGCTTTACTGACTCAGCACATTGTGGCTTAGTGAGTAGTTTTCAGCGGTTTAGAGTCGAGACACAGGTCATTTAAACTCTTTGCTTGTCAAAGGAAACAGGCGTTTTCGGAAGCTCACAAGAAAAGTTATCAATTTCTCTTTGTGTTCTAAACAGACTTAGTATTTATTATTCAAACCAAAGTGATGAATCTCATTCCAAGTGCAAGATACGGATTTTTTGGAATTTATCATGAAATACACCCATTGATAAATCACACTGGTTACTACTATATATTTACAAACTTAGGCATCAAACCTAAAGTAGAAAGTGATTGGTCATCTTAAATACTTTCAGACACTTGGAAAACATGACGACATCTTTAACTTTGTTTTTAACATAGTATAAAATCCTCTTTGGTAAACGCTATGTCCTAGCTCATACCTGACCTGAACTATGCACACTTCATATTACATTTACATATAGCGTTAACCCGTAGAACTAGCATTCACCCATTGAGTTATTCATTCTTTACAACAAATCGCCTATTGAGTAATTATTTGAAACACTAGATCACCTACTGTCATTAGTTTTCAACAATATATGTACCATACCCTTATTCATCTTCAACAATAGATTACCTATAGAGTTATTCATTCTCAACAACTGATCACACATCAAGCTTTTAATTTGCATCTACAGACTACTAAGTGAGTTCTTCATTCTCAACAT